CGTCGCGCTCTCGTCGAGAGTAAGAGTGAGCGAGACGGGCCACTTTTATTTACCATTCGGCCGACTCGCGACACCTCACCTTTCATGTGGCATACTACTCCTGTGCGCTGGCCCTTACCTACCTTACTTGCGCGACCAGACCGCTCGAGAATGCGACCGCTATAGAAAAGGGCGTAGCGGTTGCGATCCGCGATCCTGCAAAAAGTGCATTAGACGGCCCTCCCCGTTATCCTTGTCTGCTCCGCTCCCGTACAGTAGCAACGATCGAGGGTTCTTGCCAGAGCAGACTAGCGGTCGCCTACGATACTCGTTTCACCGGGACGATTGATCGAATCTTGTCCGCGTCCGAAATCGTTTCGACTTTCGTGTAATTGGCATTCGTCCAGTTAACGACACGGATTCGTTACAAGTGTTTTAAGCAACTTGCCTCGTTACTTCGTTCGGCTAATTATACCCTGCTCGCCTATGTTTATGTTTTCCATCAACGATTTCGATCGTACAAGTTGCCATCTTTCCTTCGAATCTAACTGTTCTTCGTTCGAGTTACGTTCGATCCGATTCGTACTTTGAACGAATCTAAACAGTCTTAGCGATATTATCGACGTGTCGTTAACTATCGATAAGACATCGATAATTGATCGATAATCGATAGCAGCATTTCTAGATACCTTTGGATCGTTGTAACTAACTTTTCCACGCGGTATCTACCGGGGGAAGAACAAACATTAGATCATAGTTATTTAGCGCTACAACTCGTGAACGGCAAGGAAGAATCGCGCACGCGTGTTCATTCTTTTATCCAGAGTAAAGAACGACACTCGCTAAAATCGCAGGCTCGGCCATATAACCTAAGTTTATTTATGTACACGCTAACTGGGAGAGCGCCACACGTGCACCAGCGTAAAGCGGCCCATTTCTGGGTGTCGGTGTGTTTCGTTCTAATCGTAGGATAGGTAAACGGTAACTTATGCGTGTAACGAATCTAACGTGTTCTATAAAATTTAAACGATTCGAGATGCACGCGCGAACATAAATATCTCGTAACGGTTATCAAGGTTAATCACCTTTGGTTTTTCCAGTACTTTCGACGGATTCGCGCGAAAGAATATTCGGAAATTTCACGAGAATTCTTCTGGTTTCGTGTACTTTTATGACCATTCAAAGGTCGCGTATTTCGAAAGGCCGAAGGTGTTAAATATACGTGAACGAGAATTCAGCGTTTTATAATTTTGTCCAGCAACGTATACGTAGGTTAAGCGTGACAGTTGGTCGCATCGCTCGTTTGCCCACGTACAAATCAGAAATATACCTTCTCTCCGTGGGCGGTCACACGATGGCGCCTACTCGTGCATACCTGCGCATACCTGCGAGTCCGGGACTAACCTCGCGGAACGAAAGCATCGTTTCATCGGGCTACGGCCACGATTTCGATACGTGCGTAGCACGGTGACGCGCTGTCTCTTTCGTTTTCTAACGTGCGATACCGAGGGGACAAAAGAGAAAGAACGAGCACGAGGAAAAAATGCGAAACGTAGAAAGAAGAAACGTTATCGAGAGCGAACGCAAGGATCGAAGTGCATAGGAATAAAGCGAAATGCAACAACGCCCACGTTACTGGTATACTCACGCACACACGCGCTAACCTTTATCTTATCAATGGCGAAGGCGTATCGAGGTTGACGAGGTTGCCATGCGTTTCGCCTTTTGGCACGACGAAAGACAACCACGACGCTGGATGACGACGATTCGAAACGACTGCTAAGCATCCTTTTGTACCTCGTTTCCGCGTAAACCTTCAATTCGACCACGAAATCGTTACGTTGCGTTTAACGCTCTGACCTCGACTCTACGCTGACGCGAGTCTCTTTATCGACCGAGCGGTAAAAAATAGACGAACCGCTGGAAAGCGCGGTGTTATCCGCGATTCGCTTTATCGACGTCCAAACGCGTTACAATTATTTGTCGTACTTTTCGAATGTTAGTAAACAATTTTATATCTTTTCGTACATACCAGACTACAGTAGCGGAGAAGCATGAACGCGCGGAGTTTCTACTCTGATATCGAAGATGGCACTTCGATTCTACTCGCTAATACATGACTTACATTTAATATTTTCCTAATTCCAAATTAGATTAATAGCGGAACGAAACGCGGCCACAGATATTTTCTACCATTAAAATGATTCAGTCGTTCCGTCTGTATTGCAAAACCGCTTTTTAACGAGCGGCTGAAAATATTTATCGTCCAGATAACCGCTGTCTTCAAGGGTCGAGAGCAGTTAAGCTCGTTAAATTTGTTATCGATTAACGCTAGCCTTTGAAACCTCATTAAAGCATGACTCGTCATCGGCGCATAGTTCTGCCGAAGAACGTTTAGAATACGACGTGCACCGTCTCAAAATAATTACTAATCGAACCTCCAACGAATACGTACGCGCGAGCTCCTTTTCTTTCCCGAAAACAAAATTGGTCCATCTTACTTACAAAACAAGCGTAAAAATATCCACTGACCGGTTGCAATAGCAGTCTATTTACGAAGGAAGATGTTGCAATTGTTTTTATCTGAAGTCAACTGACTATTCATCGACGGCGAGCGCGTATCAAGTGATTCATATTATTACTCGTAGCAATAATAAACGCAAACACGTGCATCTTTAATACCCGACCCAATACACAGATCAATTAATCACAAGTTTCAAACGCTCGTTGGCTGTCCGCCAATCGTTTTAATTTGTTTACGTGTCTGGTTGTACAGTAAAATCGATCACCGATAACGATTTCATTAACGCGACGATTGCTACAGTGGAAACGGGTATGCGTAACACGCGATAATCCCTTTAGGCCAGTTAGGCTCTTCCCAGATTTTCTTCTCTTCCTTCTAGAACGTTCTTCGTGAATCCCTCTAGAATCGTAGAGGGATTAGGGGAGTGAACGCGTAAAGGGGTAAAGAAATAGGTTATTATCGAAATTCTTCTCCGTTTAATTATTAAAATATTCGCGTACATAAATAGAGTACAAATACATGTGATATTGATGCGTGTATGTTGTGTTTCCACTCTCAACACCTACTACAGTCGATAATATATACACTTGTTTTATTGCTGCTTATCAAAATCCATTTCATACCATTGTAAATGCAGTCAGAAATAATCTAAGATTAAATGTAAATTTTTTAAGTACGCGATTACGCTTACTGCAGTTATTGTTTCTTCGCAATTTTCTTTCGAAGTACGTGAAAGCGACACTTGGAGATAATAAATTCGCATAGTCCATAGAAAAATACTTTTATCGAGTTCGTTGATCTTGTACCTTCTCACCGTTCTATTAATTTATTACGTATTTCACGATTTCAACGGGTGGTTCATTTCAAATGATCAGCGTTTTTGCAAACTTCAATTTTCCGATCGAATCATTCTACAATCGAGAGTACAGATTCGTCGGATGCTAATTTATACGCGATAATAGTAATCTTTTGCAAGTTTAATCGTCCGTTGAGCAGAAAATCGAATGACTGATTAACGTACCACCGTTATTAATAACGAGATTGCTCTTCGTGATTAAAAAAAAAGAAGTAGAAAACTGCTCTCTTTTTTTCGTTTCCGTTTTTTCTTTTGTTTTCCCTATGCCTACGTGTTGCTCCGTTTATCTCCTACCTTAAACGCTAGTTGTATCGTTAGAGACGTTAGTGAAGCGTGAACCTTTAAATATCGCTAGTCTTGATACGGGTTACAAGTCGATTTCCGCGGAAGAAAAAATGATCAGGGCCGTAGCGTACGATCGTACGATCGAAAAGGGAGAAAGAAGAGGGGAGTGATCATTTATCACGGACGGCAACGATCTGGAATGATCCGCGGTGGTTTTCGATATTGAACGACGCAAGGGGACATATGGTGTCGCTCGTATCACCGTGCTCTCCTTGCAACCCGATCAGAAGTAGCACTTTTTAGGGAATAAGACCGTTAGCAGTGTCTACAAATGTCCTTAAATAAAGAAGTGTACTTATTACAATTTTTGTCGTCAGGATAACCCTGGCTGTTCGTACAGAAGAAAGAGAACCCAGCGATTCGCGGATCGAGGAACAATTGTTCAGTCGAAAGCAATGCACGTCGAATCTATCGAGTTTCCGCGTGACAGATAGCCGATTTGCTAAATAAATAACGTTTATATCGCTTCGATTCGAGCGTATTCGGTTGCACCCCAGTGCATTTTTTTCTGTACGAATTTTCATCTAGATTGTTCCACTAGGAGCGTTTAAAGTAAACCGCATGGCCGCCTCGATCAAGTATCTAACCGTGATCGGCTGAAATACATCGTTTCAGAATCGAATACTTAAAAGAGTAAAGATTTTTGAAGCACCCTTCGTTTTTAACGAAGTTACAGTCGAAGATTTTCTAAACGAATCGACCATTTGATCTGCAACGCAGCATAAATTCCTTTTTCTCGATACGAGGAGAAAAGTTGTTTCTTCGTAACCGATCGTTTCATCGTCCTCGAGAAAATTAAACGTTCCGCGACTCGCTACGAAACATATTGCACGCAAAATCCCTGCGATCATCGCCCCATTTGCGATCTAGAAAAAAGATCCGATATGCATGATAAATATTCTGTATGAAACGTGAGAAACGTTCGGACGTACAAAAAAGGAAAGATTCATGTTAAGAAGTATAAAAAGTATCGTGTCCCGTAAAAGATATTGTTGAAACCGATATGCCTATTTTCTATCATCGTCTGCGAAATCGATCCTCAGTTCAGCGTTGCACAAGCGTTGATGCCTCGTGACTCTCATCATCACCTGCGATCACCGCTAAATGTCGCCGTGTAAAATTATATTGTATTTAAAGTGTTCTATAATGAGTGCGCTTTAACGTCGTCGACGAAAAAGATTTCCCCTTCGCGGCTTCTTGCACAATCCGCCGCGACTTATGACTTTCGCCGGTGCGCGCGTTTTCGAATCGACTAAGCTTTTATTTTTTTAAAGATGCCCTTGGCTTTTCCTTCTTGCACTCGCAAGCATTTTGCTACTTTTTTCAAGTCAAGAAAGGTTGAGAAGGGCATCTGTGCCGAATCGAACTTTTTCGCAAATTTAATCCTTTCGTTAGGAGAATATTCCGTGACCATATTTGTTTCGAATTTTTCAAACCCTTTTGAATTCGCTTGGTCACTCTTTCTATCGGGCTGCAATTTTGTTCGTTATTTGGTCGTCAGAGTTACGGTAGCCAACGAAAGGGTTAAATTTGCGCCCCCTCCGAAAAATAATCGAAATCTCGCGACGAACCCGACGTCGTCCCGTCTGGTTTCGACTCGGGTGGAAAAATTGAACGCGTTGTTTCCCGGAAGCTCGTTTCGCGCGAAAGGTGAGTAACGTCGCGAACGGCAGCACGCGAGTCGCAATTTTTCCAGCGAACGAGTCGTACGCGTTTCTCGGGTTCATCGCGTGCGATCGCGTAACTCGTACAAGGAGTTACGCAAGATTAGTTTGCACTTTTATCAAAGAGTTCTTCCTTCCAGCTACTTCCATCGCCTCACCGAATATCGAGTCGCGAACGGACGGGTTTCAGGGCATCATTTTACGGGGCGACAACCATTTCTTCATGTAATAGCAGAAGATCGTGGATATGTAGATGAGCACCAAAAGAGCACACGTCACTCCCAGAACCAGAACGGACGTCTTCGTTGGACAGGGTTCCACTATGGTCACCGTTTTGTCTGCAAAATAATTTGCAACAGGTTAAACAAGTTGAACTCTATGTACGAAACTTTCGTTCGATGTTTGAACAGTTACCCGCTTCGTTGAAGTCTATGCTAGCGTCGCTCTTCAAGAAATCCGATTGTTTTTCATCGCCGAAATCGAGCACCAGAATCTCCTGCGACAACGTCATGTCGTCCGCCTTTTCTTCGGTAGCGTTCGCAATACTTCTTCGACGTCTCTTTCCCCACGACTCCACCGATTCTCGTCCCCATTCGCAGACAGCCTGCAATCAAACGCATTTCTTCGTGTCTCGCGCGACGAAAAGACGTAGATCGATTTACGGTTCGTTTTATTACCGGCTCACAGGGTCCTAGACAGTATTTGACGTTGCACTGGAAGATCACGCCATAAGACTCGGTGAATCTGAACGCCTCGTAGACGGATTGAAGAGCATTCCCGTCCGGGGTGAAGCTGGGGAAGATCGATGGATCAACAGGGCACCTGACAAATCGAACGATTCATTTTAAATTTTGCTCGTGCAGTTATGAATCACGGCTTCGACAATTAGTATACCATCGAGATACCGCTTATCTGCTTTGTTAATCTCCGATCGAATTCAGGGTCATTTCATTACACGATACAGAACACTGTGTAATCGATTCGAATCGAAATATTCGCTGCTTGGATCGGACTCTGACTAATCTCGGATTAGTTTGAGATACGATTGGAACTTTGGATAGGATTTGATTAATTCCCGGAAGATGGTTATCGCGAAACATGCATATGCAATAAAGTATCCTAAAGCCGCGATTTACGAATCGGAATCACTGACCCTTCGTCGTCGATGATCTGGAAAGTGCTCTTCGAGTCCTTTGCCATAGCCACGCAGCTTCGTGCAAAGATTCCATATGGAGCTAAAAAGATAAAAGAATGTAAACGAACTTCCTCGATGCGTCGAAGGAATACGAAAGCAGCAAGAACGGAAACGTACTATCTTCTGGGATTTCGATTCTGAAGGTCAGTTTGTCTCCTATGCGAACAGTCTCGACTTCCCTGGATCTGCTGTCGAGGATGCGAATCCTTGGCGGTGGAGCTTCCGGCGCGCTGGTGATACTGATCATTTCCGGGTCTCTGATCGGCATCATTCCGAAGGTAATATTCTTCGACGACATATCGTACGTACATTTCACCTTGTATATCTTATCGGCCTTGGTCATCACCACGGAATGGTGTTGAAGGACGACCGTGTTCGAATAGATCCCAGTCTGAAAACCGTCACGCTGCCATGGTGAACAGACAGTTTGAGCAGAATTGAACGACTCGAGCTAGTGCGAGGCCAGAGTGTGTGTACAATTTACAAAGCGTAGACGTATACGTACCACACTCTGAGTGTTACAATCTTGTCCGCTCATGGTTAAATCGAGCCTGAAGAGATCGCTATTGATCACGTCGATGTTGCAGGTCTCGGAGCGACCCAAGGCATAAATGCGACCGTTGAAGGGCTTGTTCGTGCGAACTTGAACGGCTATTCGAGTATCCTTGCAATCCACCGACACTGTAATTACGTTGTACGGCTATGATTAAGCTTACGATAATAAAGAGTGTTTAGGGAGGATTTTTTCGAGTTAACCTTTCGGTCCGCGATAGCGAACAACCGCGCGTTGTTCAACGAACGCACGTACCATCGTAACAGGTTCCAGTTTTATCGCAGTTGATGTCGTTCCTAGTGAGATTGTTTATCGTGGGATCCTCCGTGGTTTCGAAGACGACCGGTAACGGATCCGCGACTGGACCAGTTCCCTCTGAAAACGCGTATCGTTATAAGATGCCGAAGAAACGATCCGATAAAACGGTACAGCGACTTACTCTCGCAATAATTCTCAAAGTACGTCCCGACTCTTTCCCCGTTATCGATCAGTGGACGCTCCGCGTTCAGATACGTCGAAGGGCCATCAGGAAGAGTCCAGTGATCCAGATGAAACAGCTGACAGTTATAAGCTGATCCCTGAGGAGCGCCCCGATACAAGAAGGATCTGCAAAGAAACTCGTTCTCGATCTCGCAGGCCAATCTGCACGCGGATTCGCTCTGAACTTGAAGTTCTTTGTCCGTGTAATAATGCAATCCCGCGTATTGCGCAACCTTGTCATCGGCCACGCCGATTCTAGGCATCTGGAAGATCCTCTGTGACTTGCAAGCTTCCTTTCCTGAAAAGTTATCATTCTCAGAGTGGTTTCCGTGGTCTTCGCAAATGTTTTCTCGTCATCGAGTTTTACCTTTCAGGCATAAATTTTCGAAATAGTCCACACCCTGGGCATCCACGAATTGAACGTACTGGCCTGTCGTTCTCCGATCCGAGTCACTCAGGTGACATTGAAGCGTTACGTAATTGTACTCGACGGAACGACAGGTGAAGCGATGCTCGTTCAGGCAAGCGGCTAGACAAGCTTCTTTCGTCGACGTGTAGATCAACGCGTTGTCCAGACCGCGTATCATCTTGTTCGGAACTCGTTCGAAGGACCACGGACGTAGGCACACGTTCTCTGAAATAATGCGATTGTTTCTTCGGCAAAGGAATAAATCGGAAACGTTCGAGCAACGACGAAGTCGGTCGTGTGATTCGGTAGCGCGTGAAATGTTTTCGTCTATAGAGAGACAGGACACGTGGATACGCCTGACCGCAGACGCGACGTTTGCACACCTGACGAAGCGTACGCAGGCGGTAAGGGAGTGACGTGTTACGTAACGCTGTCGTATGCAACGCGAGCTTCGTATGCCAACACCTGTGTACCAACGCTTCAGAAATTTAATACAGTGGCTGAGGTGGATAGCGATTGCGACGGAGATAGTAATCGCTTACAATTTATACGAACATGTAGAAAACTGCGCGAAAGTATTCCAGCGATACAAGTATGTTCGCGGATAAAGTACACGTGGTAAACGTTTCCGCAACCTTGTACTTCTGCACAAAAACTATCAAAGTACTTTCAAGATTTCCCAAGTTTTTCTTTACCTTCTTCCGATATCTGAATCTTCAAACGTTTCAAAATGTTTTGGCTACAAATACCTAAATGATCCGACTTTCTACATCGCCGCTATTCCTTCGATCAATTTACCATTTCACGCATAGTCTACTACAATCCACTCTTATTACCTTCTACAGCAAAATTCTCTTGGAACGAACATATTGCGTACGAAAGTAGAAACATTACTTGAAGGTCGTTTTGTTCCTTTTCTTCGAAAGGAAGATTGATAGCCACGAAATGCGGTAATTCGTAGTCTCCGGTTCTCGAAATAACCGGTAAAAAGTACGAATGAAGAGAGAAAAGCGGAACGGCGTGAAAGAGCAAAAGAAGATCGGTATTCGCGGACAGACACTCGAGGTATGGATCATCGATCGAGAAACAGTTACGTATCCGGTGAATCCGAGGAAGTGTGGCGAATTTCTCGGACGGTCGATCACGCGAACGCGGTAACCGCGGGACGAGCACACGAGGATGAGAGCTCGCTACCAAAATCACGAGTCGAGGTAACATGTGACTTGGCATATCGCGACGTGCCACACACGTACGTTCCTCTGACGCACGAGCTCGGCGATTTTTGGCTCGAGAAACGGGTTTACGTTTCGACGCTGGGACCAGTCATCGCGTTCCAATTTCTTTTGTTACGCCCTCGAAACCGGCGCTAATGTCGAATACGACCGGGATCATGCCAACGAACCGACACCGATGATTCACCATTATTCCTACGAATTCCTTCTCGATATCTGACCTCATTTATTTTTTAACCTTTTAGCTTACCAATTAGATACCGGCCAAATCCGTGGGATACGCTTCGATTTAGCGAGTCGAGTCTTCTTGTCTACGAATAACGGTGACACTCGACTATTCGGGTCCTACCTATTCATCCTGAATACGTATCACGCGTTACATCCTACACTATACGCACACCGCGCCATGCTTTGTACCTTACACACTGTATCTTGTAAAATTACAACGAGTCTCCGTGTTCTGTTAAATTACGAAGCATCCGAATTCCAATCGTGTTTCGAAAATCGTGCAAAGGATTTTTAAAAATACTGTGGTATGTGTGTGTGTATGTACTATGTAATTGTATGATCGACATGGGTGCATAATATGAACGAAGCTTGCGTATGGTATGATTGAAGTTTGCATGTAATGAAGGTTGCTAGAAGATAGTAAGATTGTCTTTTTGGCGTGATCGAACGTTTTGGGAGCAAAGCAAGAGCGCATTGCTGCGTGTGAGATTGTGAGATAGAGACGTGAGAAATTCGTTAATTCGTGAAGTTCCATTTGTGTTGCATTTAATTAATTATAACCAGTCATACTTTGTTAATAAATTTCATTAATCTTTCTAATTATTAAATATTATTCTGCAATACTCTTGTCCATTGTTGCTCTCGAACTATTTCTGGACGGTCGGCTAGAAGTTTCGGTCTGCTGGAAATATTTCTGTTGGCAGTGAACCGTCGTTGAACTCTGTCAACCGTGACTCACGATGTTACTAAAATTAATCATCGACAGACAGCGGGCTGTTTTATTTCTCGAATTAAAACGTCGCGGGACGATCAGAACACACGCGCGTTACGTAAAATTTCGAGCGAGCCAACTTTCGACGTTCAAACCCTGAAGAACGACCATACGAATTCTCGACAAGTCGAGACCTCGATGACGAAGGAGACTGTTTCGTCTGTTAAGAGTTATTTTAAGGGTGGAAGGATTTCGTGTGGAAATTGGCAGAAGAAAAACATTGTCGCTGATCGCGACAGATTTCCAATCCTTCTATGCCGGTTAAAATCCTGATTTTGACGTGGAAAAGCATTCTTCGTAGGTTACACAACGTTTGGAATAGGAATTACATAAGCTTAGGAATATGTCGAATTCGTATGTTTCTAAATACGTCGTCGACAGCTGTAACGCGCGATCTTCTACATTTTTATTGTCCGACAGAGCTGACAAAAACGTTTTGGAACGAAGTAGGCGCCTGGCATCGAACGTTTCATGGAAACGGGAACCTTCCTCGAAGCTGTTCGTTGTTCTTTCGAGTACGACCCAAGCGAGAGGTGGCTAGGGTAGATGTCCAAAAGGTTTTACGAGGGAACCGCGTTAGTTTGAAGGATCGAAGGTACCAGCAGGCTCGTTAAACCAATATTAGGGGTTTCTTAGACCCCCTTGGGATCTTTTCGACACCTCCGATACGACCCTGCAGGTACCTGTTTATGCCGACAACCGTGGCTTAAAAGCACCCTTCGCACCATTCGATGGGTACCAGCAGATTCTTTATTGTTTGCAGCCAACCTGGGGTTCTTCTCTTTGGCAAATTGTAGACTTTCTTACCGACGAATATCCGCAACCGCTTGTCCCCTGGCTCCATGGGTCTTCTTTTGTGTTTCGAATCGTAGGTTCTTATGCTGTTCGATTCGAAGAAGTTTTGAAACGCGGAAACCTGCTACGCGAATTTATAATTTATCATTTTGTTTTTCTTTAATCCCGAACGATCGGATGTCCGAATAACGCGAACACCGTACGCGTACAATAATTCCTTTCGTGCCACGTAATTTAAATCTCCAGGAAACAGATTCATCCACGAATCGCGTTTCTACCTGACCACCAGCCAACAAAACAGTTCAAATATCGCTCCGACGATACCAGATTCGTTTACAGTTCGGTCCAAATCAAACAAGCTGCCTCTCGAACAAGGAGCTACCGGCTTCTTACCGCGTCCGTTTATTTGCACGTCTACCTGCTTTCCGACGACTTTACCTCTATCGCCCTAAACCGGGATTATGCGCCCCTCCCCCTCTTTCGTCGCAGAATTTTCCTGTAACCTGCTCGGTCTTCTCCTCGGGTTCGTGTCCTCTTTGTTCTCGCCGGTCCCGAGAAGGGTTTTTAACGACAGGGAGCAGCACGAGGTGCGAGGGGTATTAGCGTTCATTAACGAAGTCGTGCTGGTGGCTCGATTATAATGGACCGTTTAAGCTGCCGAAGGTCGAATTTTTCAGGCAGGTGTAAGAAGATTATGAAACCCGCCGGATGCAGCGGACAGAAATTAGAATGACGCGATTCGATTGTGGCTCTGTCAATTTGCTCCTTGTGTTACGCGTTTCCATAAATACGAACTTGTCCCTCCTTGTAATAGACAAGGCAGACGGTATTCGCTTTTCGAACAAAACAGTATTTATAACTGTACGATCGGAGTAACGGGAAAATTGCTTGGAACGTCTTTAGAACGTACAATCTCGAACGGAGTCACAGTTTGATCCGCAATTTTCACCTATTTACCTGATCTAATTTGAAGCTTGGTCATGTAGTACATATTCGCGGCTCTTTGCGGTTGTGCCGCGGGATTCGTCGCGGCCGTTTCGTTCTGCAACTGACAGAGAGTGTCCTGCATCGGCGCCAAAGGATTTACGACGAACGAGAACGCTGCTGCCTGACATTCTACCTCCTCGCGGCACCATCCCTGACACTCGTACAAGGACAGGTTCCTTACGCTGTAATAAGTCGTTCCACGGTAGTCGTAATCCGTCAACTTCTCGAATGCTGTCCTAGCTGAAACGGGATTGCAGAACTTATTCAAAGTACTCCATACACGTGCGCCTATAAAGACGAGTTATTCGTCGCTTCATATTTTATGGACACTTTTCTATTCATATAAACTTTATATTCTATTTTTCTATTCATATAAGTAGAGCACAAAACCGAGAATAAATCGATGACGTAAATCGTGTTCCTTAGAATATAAATGCTGTCGTTGGAGACTTAATATCTCAAGGAGAGTTTGAAAAAAATGAAAAAGTGTACTCACCCAGGGCTGCCTGAGAGACAGAGATCAAGGTCATCAACGTCACGCTCGTGGCCACAGCCGCCATCGTGCCGATCGCAGACGACCCCATCTGTAACAGAAGCAACGAATCTCGGGTTAGAAACGTAATTGGATTCGGAGCCGTGCTTGTTCTCCACTCTCGTCGTGTCTTTCGATGCTTACTGACTTCTATGGGCTCATTAATGTCTAACGCTACGAATCAAACGTGATCAGGCGATCGAACGAACATATTTCAAACAGCAGATTCATAATAAATATGTATTATTTGGATTTCTTAATTTACGAAAATAAACAGGATACTTGTGACAAAGGTACGTTAATATTTGTCGTCGTTGTTCCAGTGCTTATGTATATCGACTATGTTATACCATCGAGTATGTCGTATACAAGGCGAAGATATTTCTAGCGTGTGCTGGTAAACGTGTTAATGAATTCTATGCTCGCACACGAGTAATGGAACATTCGTGTATCTGAAACGGTTTTTCAAGCGAAGTTCCGCAAGTATAACTCGGTTGCTGGCAAAACGAGAAGTTTTCGCGTGTTACGAACCTTCTTATGTAGTCCGAAAGGAGGTAGAATTGAGAATATAGCGATGGACAAAGCCCTCATTTTCATGCCGCTAAAAGTGCGGTACGGAAACCGAGCGCAAAAATATTTGGGTAAGCGCATCGTTAATAAGGGGATCCCGGTGAAATCATCTTTCTCGGTTAACGGGCCGGAATGTTATAAAGTCTTCGCTGTAATTTATCTCTCGGTTCTTGTATCAAATTCTCTAGATTTTCTCGTATAATTTACAATAAATTACCGACTAAAAGCAAAAGGAACAGCCGTTATTTGCTAAGGGTTGGATAGCTCGTTATCGCGGTGGTCGTGGTGTCGGTAAATCAATCCGTCGGTAAATAAATCGCGTTCGTTCGTCAAAGCGTTAAAAGAGGATCCTCGACTCGAGGAAGTTGCTGAAGATTGCCGGAGTTGCTCGAGTAATTCGCTCGTGCAAGCTGAAAGCACGCGAGTCACCGGTTTCCCGCGCACCTTTTGCTCGCGTTGCTCCACCGACCGAGCTACTTCCTGGATTTCTTACGCTTGTCCCCGGCTTTTTGCTCCCTTTACAACAGTCGCCACCTCCCCGTTTCTTCTACATCCTAGCAGCTTCTTTTCAACGCTCTTCTTCCTTTTCTACGTCGTTTTTCGATCTTTCGCGCGATCAACCGTTTCCTTTCATTAGCTCTTTTTCCTTTTTCTTACCGGTCGATTGAGCGATCCTGCTGTGGACGCAGTTACCGATCAACTGGTTTTCGTTCCCACTCATTTCGAACATGTACTTTTTCCTACGTTTAATCGTTTACACGGCAAGAGTTATGGTGGCAAAAGAAAAAACCATTCTTCTTAAATGACGAGGAAGAACAACCGTTACGGTTGTCGAAAGTATCGTGATCATCGTCAAAACTGTCGAGGCAAAGTCGGGGCTAAAAACATTATCGACGCCATCATGGCTATGATCGTCAAAGTTATTAAGTTGTTAAAATTAGCAAGAACTCGATGATTACAAGGACTAGCGTTATTACCACGATTATTAGAACTTTCAAGGATGCGAAAATTGACAAGACATTCGTTAAAATTATGAAAAATTGACGGTGTCTCCATAAGTCGAAGTCGTAAATTTGCATCTCGAGTCGCCACAGCACTCGGAACCGTACATTGCATCGTGTTTTAACGCGAGCTCTCTCTGATCTACGATTTTAGGTCCTTATCTCTCGGAACATCTTCGAAGGTACCGTTTAGGAGTATCATAGTCGAGAGCTTACTCCCTTCGACCGGTACGGAAAAGGACGTTTCGTGTCGTGCGGTACGGCACCGTGGCTGCCAGTAATTGCGGCAGCACGTAAATAACGCGGGATTGCTCGTCTGAAGCGAACGTAATGCGATAACGGCGCGTTAGAAGGCTCAGCTAGAAGGTACGGTCGTCGATTCGTAGTCTCGGTTCGAGGTCATCGTGCCTTGAATAACTGGGGACCGTGTAACAGAGTAGTAGGCTTTTGTCGTGGTTTGTGCCTGAGGTCAAAGGTTCATTCTGACCTCCCACTCGCGTCTTTCACCGACGCGCTTGAATCGCCTGAAACAGCGTGAACGAAGATGAAATCAACGTGTCAAGCTTCCGTAACGTAGCCGCACAACGATGAGCCTTCTTTCGTCGAATAACTAAACAGTTATTCTCGATGCCACGACCAATTGCATAACTTTGTCGTTAAACCAGGAATTATTCTCCGAGTGCATTATTACCCTTTTCGAAAATACGCGCACATAAGCTATTATAAAAAAGAGCAATAATTCATTGTACAACGAAGAAAATTTTGACGAGTAGAGTAATTAGGCGACGGACCAAAGGTAAACCAGCTCTGATCCTTTACGTTTGTCCTTTATCAAACGAAGCCTTAGTACGATACTGTCTATCGGTCTCAGGATTCGACAGTTTTCAGCCGGAGAAGAATCGATATTTGCCGCCTTCGCGAGCACGCGTGCTCTCGCTAACAACGAGGAATGCGCTTCGGTTCAGTTGGCGGACGGGTTGATGCACTGTTACGAAGATTAATGCTCTAACCGCGGTCGCGGCGAAAGAAACCCGAAGAAGAACAGCGGATTTCATCCGGCGGCTGCTCTCGCTTCGGAGTCACTCGAGAACACTGGTCCTTCTAAGAACGTGGCTATCGAGGGAACGTGTCGCGGTTACCGTTCGACACTGCGTTACTCTCTTTTCACGGAGACGGAATCCTTGCTGCGCGTGTCATGCGACACGTTCCGGCCTCGAACAACCGGGATTTCTCCGACACATGGTTTTAAATCTGCCCGTGACTTCCTTCCGTGCCCGGCAGAACTTCGGATCGCGTTTCACTACGTCTCAGCTGCTGCTTGGTACTCCGGTTTTATTATTTATGTATTCGTCGTTGTCAAATATTTGCGACGGGATCTTATTCCGCATCACTCGGTATCCGTCGGAAGAACATCCTAAGTGTAGGTCAACGGTGACCACCGTGAGAGACGGCGCGCGTTACTCGACGAAGTTCTCGTTTCTTCCTTGCGCGCATTGTCTCACAGGTGTGACGAGAACGCACGAGAATGACACGAACAGTAGGAACAGTAAATAAATTGAAGAGAAGGCTCGAAACATCCGTGTGAACTTCTCGCGCCGCATTGTCTTTGTTTACACCCGCAGGAAAAGTCGTGTGCACACGGAACCCTGACCTTTACGTCACAACCGGTCTGTTGGCGAAACGAGCGAGAAACCTGGTCGACGAGTTCTCTCGCGAGATGTTCTATGGCTGTTGAAGGCTTTGCCAACCGAGATTCTGGTTTCCGGCATCGCGTTCCGCGAGCTCCCTTCCGGAAACAACGCTCGTTCGCGGCCTCCTTTTTATTATGAACATCGCGGTTAATCAGCGCCATCTCGATTACATCCGTGGGCTCGTGGGTACGTTTCCATGACGAACTTAATACACGCCGTTCCAAATTGTCTATTATATTCGTTGAGGTAGTATTTAACAACTATGCGAAATTTGTTAGCGATCAAGTTGTTCGAGTAAGATAAAATCGTCGTCTTGAAATTATTTTCAATCGATTTATCTATCGTTCCATTGAAACACGTAGGACTAAAGCGTATTTACTTACATCGAAATCTCTTAGGTTGTTAATAGGTTTACTCGTCGATAAATACATTAAATTAGCATATTTAAATGATCTCGTTTCAAAAAAAAAGAGACCACCCGCTTGTTTTCTATAATTGTGACCGTACAATAAAATCAATCCGATCATTACTCGGTTACTCGAGAATCGCCGTCGGCATCAGAGATCTTCGCGAGCAACGATTCAACTTTATACCCACTAGACGGAGGGATAATTAACAGCGATGCTCCCCGTCTGATACTCGATTAGTTTTGTCTGATGGTCCAAGAGACCTCTGGAGGTCGCCCAATTGTTCTTGATATAAGGATAATTGATATTCAGAGTAGACAGTACCGTTGTATCGCGGCTGCGGGCATTTAATTATCCCGGTTATACGAAAGCGATGGGTCTTCTGGATTATCTTGGCGGTGTATCCCCTCGCTAGGAAATCGCTTCGTGAATCACGGTCGCCCTACCAGAGAGCACGGATTTCCATTTGTCTTGGCTTTCGCTGCAGTACCTCGTGACTAGACACAATGATTCTGTAACAAATGCACTCTTCGTGTTCGCGGAGGCGTTCCCCGTATCCTCGGAACATTGTCCACGGGATCGCCTCAGGACTATCTATCCTCCTTATTAACTCGTCCTGCTCGTCCACCGGTAACGAACTCGCTTCAAAGATCATGAGCTTATTGCTGGGCTGGCCGGGCCACGGACGATCGAGTCATCAATATTAAACAGAACATCGGATTTATATGCTGCTTTTGCCGTTCCCTTTGTCACGAAAGTGTTCTTCGTTAAAGAAACTAACCGTTCATACGCGTATACTGCTTCTGATTTAATTGCAACGTTGATTTTCAAATTAACTACATTTATGGTATAACTTCTCGATCGAATCGAATACCAGTTTTCCCGGTCCATTCGGAAGCGATCTAAGCGATCGATTTCTTTTTTCCCGCATTCCGGTAAAATTAATATTTAGCCCTAACGCGCATTCGAGGAACATGTAGCAATTTTCACGGCGACTTTACGTCTTCCGTAAAATGTATACCTTCGCTGCGGAATGGGAGGAACGGGTATCCAGGGACGCACGAAACGAGCGGATATTTGTCTCGTCGTCGTTTTAATTAAATCGACCGATCTCGGCAAATTGTTCGTCATTACGCGAGATCAGCGGTATTTTATATAGAATCGGGGATTTCTCGGCGACGGTTAATTACAAAGTCACGATCTTCGAGTGCTCTGCTCGAATTATGCGGAGCTCTCGCGGCAAACCGTCCGCGCAATTACGCGATGGGATCTTCTTGGGTTCCGTGAAGAATCAATTACCCAGCCACGAGACCAGTCTTCTCGTCCCGAGGCACCGAAAATGAACGTTCAAGCAGAAACGAGTTCGAGTTATGCTTTGAATTA